TCCTGTATTTTTATTCTGGTTCTTGTTCTATTGTTCTGGTTCTGTGGTTCTGGTTCTCTGGTTGTGGTTCTAGTTTTCTGGTTCTGTGGTTGTGGTTCTGTGGTTCTGGTTCTCTGGTTGTGGTTCTAGTTTTCTGGTTCTATGGTTGTGGTTCTGGTTCTGTGGTTCTGGTGGTCCAGTGGGCTCCAGTTGTTTTCTCTGCAGAGCAGGTTTGCATCTCATTGCTGCTGCAGCAGAAAAGCTTCAGTCCTTTCAGGCCGAACTGCTTCTGAGATTCTTGCTTCTTTAATTTATTCTGAACCATCATTGAGCAAATATCCTAAATATAAAATCAAACCTTCATTTTTTTCTGATTGTTATAATTTAATCCGTGTTTTCTGCAGTTTCTCATACTGACCTGTTTTCTACAATCGTCTGATTTCTAATCGCTGCTTTAGCTTCATCTCCTTCCTGCTGAATGTTTTTATCACAGATGTCTCTCCTCTTCTCTGTATTAATGGTGAACTTTTGTCCCTGCAGGCCTGGGTGAATCCTGGGGTCATGTGAGCCGCAGCTCTGTGGATGGCGTCAGCCAGGAATTAGGCTCCCATCTCCTACAGGTAGACTAAAATAAAAACTGTATTATTGTTGTTGTTGAGCAGAGCTGTGAGAGAGTGCAGCTCAGCAGCCGCCACCATCTGCCTCCTGCTGCCTTCATTCTCCTTGCTTTGAGAGTGAAATGAGTTGAACACATTCCTGGTCACGCACAGACCCCCCCACCCCCCCATCAGCAGCACAATGGAGCGGCTCTGTAGAAAAGCAGCTTCTGCTCACACTGATCAATCCTACATTCACACCTGAAGCAGAGCTTCGCTGCTGACGGCTCAGACTCACAGTTCACTAGACAAGCGTTTCTATCCAGGGAGAATATTTTCACACATAACTAAACATTAATGTTGCATAAATCTATAAGTTAGCAGCTGCAAAACAACATAGAAACAAATCAGAATCACAGATTCAGCATTTTTATTGATTCCTGCAACAGTTTAAGGTCTTATATTATTTGCTTCATTTGTAGAAATTCCAGCATAATTCCAAATAATCTAGTAAAACTCAATCTGAATGTTATCTGTGTTTCTGACTGAGCCTCCAGATGGTGAATAAAATAAAATGAGAAATCAATTCATTTTAAGGCATTTTTAACGTTACGCTGATTAAAAGGACTAATGTTCTGTAAAATAAAAGCTGGAGTAGAAGGAAGAAGACACTCAGGGTTTATCCTCAAACAAAGAACGAAGCTCAGCTTCATAGAGGTAAAAAAATAAAAATAAAAAAATAAAAATGAAAATTAAATTAAATTTTCCTTTTTACACTTCATATAAAATATAATTTTTAGTATTAATTACTGTTTAATATTTACCAATAATCAACACTCTGTCCTTCTTATTATTATTACATAATTCACCACTGAAAAAAATAATATAACCGTTTTTGGCATTTACTTAATTATATTTAGTTACTTTAATACAATTGTTTCATGTTAGCAGGGTGGGAAATTAAAAACTTGTGTTAAACTAATTAAATATAATTAAATAAATGGCAAAAGCAGTTGCCTTATTTTTTTCAGCGATGTTAATAATGATAATATTTAGATAATTATAGATTTAATCCAGCTTCCTTTTGAGTTTAATGCCTCATTCTTCTGGCAGCTGTAAAGCTGCTCGTCCTTCTGCTGCATCAGCTGCTCCTATTCAATAAAAACCTCTTATTTTATTTCCCAGAGGTCTTTTTATTTTATTTTCTGTCTTCCAGACTTTAGATGGATTCGTTTTTGTGGTGGCTCCTGATGGGAAGATCATGTACATATCGGAGACGGCGTCCGTTCACCTGGGCCTGTCACAGGTCAGTTCCTAGAAGCGTCACACGTCAGCCAATCACATCCCAGCTCTGAGCTCCATCTTCCCTTCAACAGGTGGAGCTGACGGGAAACAGCATTTATGAATACATTCATCCGGCCGACCATGATGAAATGACGGCCGTGCTCACGGCCCACCAGCCCTACCATTCCCATTTCCTCCAAGGTAATCCCTGCTGCAGCTGCTGTGATCTAGACGCACGGCTGGCTGTCAGCATAAATGGCTCCACAGTTTACGCCTATCTTTGCAGAGTTTGAGATGGAGCGCTCCTTCTTCCTGAGGATGAAATGTGTCCTGGCTAAAAGGAACGCCGGTCTCACCTGTGGAGGCTACAAGGTACGGCAGACCCCTGCTCAGCCCATCATAGATCAGCTCTGGTCTCATCCCTTATAGAACCAGCTGCCTGGAGGCAGGGCCGGAGTTAGGGAATGTGGGGCCCTACGCAGAGACAGGCAGGGGGCCTCTGAATGTAGAACACAACACATTCAAACAGCCCCATTATCCAGATGTAGAAATGTTAATAGAATAGACATCCATTATCTGTTCTAGGTTGTGTCCCTCTCTTCTTGTCCCTTTTCTTCTTGTTTTCCTCTCTATGTTTTGTACTCAGCTGACTTTTCATGCTGTCTCTAAAGGAATGAAAGATTTTTTTTCTGAGACACACTTTTCTGATGGTATTTTAATGAAAGGATTTTTATCAAAAACATAA